AAAAAAATTCCCAAAGGGAATCATATACTTCAGATGAGTAAAGAGTTGGACCAGAGCATCTCTGTGTGACACCTTCCCTCTACGTACTGAAATTTAAGCTCTTCTTTTCACTTTTCATTTGCTACCTTAACAGAAACCTCCATCACTACCCTCTCTCATCTGTACAGCCGGAGAATTTAGATTGTGATTTGAAATTATGTATTGATCTAAAATAAAATCTAATAAAACTGCAAGAAAGTTGAATGTTCCATAATGTGTTCCATGAATAGAAACTTAAAGCTAGAAGGAACCTTTAAGGCCTTCTAATCCAAGCCCTTTATTTTACAGATGAGGAAACTGAAGCCCAGAGAGGTGAAGTGAGGTGCCCAAGGCCACACAGCAAGTTAGAGGCACAGCTAGTACCATAGCTCAAGTCTCCTGACTCCCAGTCCAGTGCTCCTCCCATTACTCCACGGGTCCTGACTCTAAGCTTCCTGACAAATGCTAGAACGGTAAACCTCCACTAGTATTTTTCCAGACCATGTTAAAACTCTTAAGGGGGAAAAAAGGATGCTTTCTTGGGTAATGTCAGCCATACGTAGCTCAAGCTGTCTAAAGTTCTGGGACAGGGTCTTTTTATGCAGCCAACAGAGTCCAAATGTGGTGCTGTTTGCTTGGCCCATATGCTTTCATGTGTTCCCATTTAGGCCATTACTGGAGGGAAAAAAAAAAAAAAACAACAAGAATCAGCTTGTTTTAAAACAAGGGACATACTGGACTCCCTCCCATCCCCCCTCAGAAAAAAAAAAATCAAGTTATCTTTAACAGATTCTAAAAATGCCTTTTCCCAAATATGCAGTCAGTTCCTTCAAAGGGCCCTTTGTTTATTTTCAGGAAGAAACCCAAGACAGCTGAAAACCAGAAGGCATCTGAGGAGAATGAGATTACTCAGCCGGGTGGATCCAGCGCCAAGCCGGGCCTTCCCTGCCTGAACTTTGAAGCTGTTTTGTCTCCAGACCCAGCCCTCATCCACTCAACACATTCACTGACAAACTCTCACGCTCACACCGGGTCATCTGATTGTGAGTACACCAGTAAGGTGATGGTGTCTTCGTGGTGCTTAGAGCATGCTTGTCCCCTGGGTTCTGGCTTTTTGGCAAAGCTGTTTCCAGTTGGTCTTCTAAAGTAGCCAAAAGTAACTTGCCACCATTTTGATTCGGCCAACATCTATATTTTCAAAGCTAGAGTGTGAAAACCAGGTGACCAGCCATTTAGCCTCGAAAGGCTGATTATTTACATAAACCACATTTTCTTTCATAACATTAACTCAAAAAAAAGTTGCGAAGTTGTGCTTTCTAATTATTCTTTTGTCCCCATGATGTGAATAACAGTACTTACATTGTGACTTAATTGAACAACCAAATATGGACCACAGCAAGCTAGTTAGACACAAAGAAACATCCATTTTGAAATTACATAACACAAATCAGCTTTGCATTAGTTACTGGAGTCTCATGTAGCTTGGCTGAATTTCTGTCTTTCCAGTTTTTAATTTATTTTGAAGTGGTTAAAGGATAGCATAAATTTACAGAAGAAAAGAGAGCGGCTTCCAAGAATTCAGAAGCCACCCAGACTTCACTTAGCCAATAAGAATTCAGGTTAAAAATATTTTTTAATTAACAAAAAAAACTGCCTACGGGCTAAATTTGGAAATGGGCAGCTTAATGAGAGCATCACTATTGAAATCACCCCATTGCTGTTTATTTTTGCAGTCTTCCCACTAAACTGGGAGTCACTTCTTTAATTTCTATTTTAAGAAAGTTGATAAATCACATTTAAGAGATTTTTTTCTCTCTTTATGAAACGTAACCCAATACTTCAGGGAGAAAGAAATACATATGTTGACAAAGGAAAAGAATGGAAAAACTTTGGGGTCCAATCTGAAAGAATATTCCTTTCAGTCTTGAGATACCCAGCGACTATTCTGAACCGATCTCCATAAAGGAATCTGGTAACTAACAGGCAAAGAGCTGGTGTATTCTTCTTTGGAATGATCGAGAAAGTTTTATTTTCAGAAAAGGACTCTGTTTATCCTGTCCACAGAAACAAAAATTAATAATGAGGAAATGAGATTCTAAATTTCCTAGTGTTATTATTTTGACAGAACAAATGTAAAACTCTGCAAAGTGGGCAAAAGGCAAATGAGACTGGGAGATTCCGTTCCCTACTTGTTCTATCATAATAGTCTCCAGATAAAGGGACAAGACCCAGGGGTTGGGATTGGGGTGAAGAGAGATTGTTCTCTTTGTGGTTGGGCTAAGATTTGTATGAAGTTGCTGCTTCTACGGACAAACCTGGAGGTCAGAAGCAGGGACTGTGTTCTGTGGACCATTGTAATAGTGACATCCTTGGCCCTTCTTGCCTGGCAGTCTCCAGCCTAATAGTAATTACAGGAAGAATTGGAAAATCGCATGGCACGATGCCCGTAGACATGTGCACACTGTCCCTACCTAGCAGAAAGGTAGCCTGTTCCTGTGGAGAAGGGCCTGGAGCTCCTGCATGCAGACCTTCATCTCCTGGCTTCCTGCCACACCTTATGGGGAAGATTACATAGTATGGCCTTAGCCCAGAAATCCCCTGTCGCAGCAAAGTGAATGTTTTTCTGACTAGAAGCAGCACTAGGCTTCATTTATTGTACTTTCCCACAAGCATCCTCTGACCAGGCCTTGGCGTTAGCATGGACTGCATACAAGGCGCTGTACAAGCGTGGTGCCACCTCCTCGGCTGTGAGAAAGCCAGTGGATCTGAGCTCAGTAAGGTATCTGAATGCAGTTGGAAGGAGAACAAATAGAGAGGAGGAATCTAATCTCCAGCTGTTTAAAAGTCATTTTGATTTTGCCATTAAGATGTGAAAGTCTTCTCTGCTCCAACCTGTTGTTTAAATTGATTGTACTTTTCTTCAAATATATTCGGATTGTAGTTTGTCCTGATTTGAGCTTACACTTACAAGAAAATTGTTTTTAGGAAAGATTCACAGAAATCTGTTCATTTGGAGATTGCTTAAGAGAGCACAGGAAAGAGGTTTATTTTAAGCTGTTAAAGTTTTTGGATGCTCTTCTCGCATTCAAGAGGATTTTTCTTTTTCTTTCTTTCTTTCTTTCTTTTTCTTTCTTTCTTTCTCTCTCGCTCGCTCGCTCACTTTCTTTCTTTCTTTCTTTCTTTCTGTATGTCTTCTTTCTTTCGTTCTTTCTTACTTACTTTCAAGTGTCATTCTTGCCATAGTTTAATTTAAAAGCCCAACTTCTTTAAGGTAAAATATTCAGTTCCTATTTAGAACTAACAGATTTGGGGCATTTAAAAATAGTGCCCTTGACTTGTTAGTCTATTTAACTTCAGAAACATTCCACCAGTGTGTAGTGTTCCAAGCTTTCACAAGTGCCTGAATTTTTATGGCACCTTTTTATTTGTCATGTGTTTAGCAAAATTATTCTTAGTCATGCCTTAATGCCCATTTCCTGTCAGTCATTATAATTCTGCCCAGCTTACAGACGAGAAAACTGAGAAAATTGACACCCAGACAATTAAATGACTTGCACGATAGTTAACTCATTCAGATACTGAAGGATGTTTATGGCTTTGCTGTCGCTGTGAGCAGCCTGAATTCTCTGTTCCAGGCCCAGAGATAGCATTCCTGGCTCTAAACAGACACCTTGAAAATGTGCAAGTACTCATATTGGTGAGCGGGTTATAAAACGTGATGTATAAGCGTCCCCACAAAAAAAAAAAGTCGGCTCCGAATATGAACTGGTAAGGGTGGGTAAGCCAGTGTTGTTGCATCTGAAGGACACAGGCCAAATTTTAGAGCAAAGAGGACGAGTCTGGCCCCATAGCTTCTCAGTCGACTATTTAACCCACTGAGCCACTTCAGATTTGGCCAGAGATCCCAGTAATATTCTGAACAAGAAGGAATATGTGAGATGATGAGGTTAATAAAGCAACATACTGAAAAGTATGTTGCTTTCAGTGCACCCACTAATGATTTCCCTTTAGCAACATTTTCCCATTACCTCCTAGATTGTCACCTCTTTACCATTTCTAAAAATCTAATGGTAAAAAAAACAAGCAAAGAAACAAACAAAAAACCTCATGATGATAACAGAAGGCATTAAGATGAGTTTGGGAATACCAACGGCACCAAACTCATAGGTGTTTCACAGAACAGTTACCCACTGAACAGGCTGAGGACGAGCTGAGCTAAGCTCTCCCTTTAAATGCTGAAACAGAACTAAACCAAGTCAGTAGAGCAGGCAAGGGCTCTCCATATGAAAACCCGTATTGACAACTACTAAACTGTCGCACACCACAGTCATATACATGTGATAGAGGGAACCAGAACTTTTACTTGCATATTTCTTCTATTTCAGTTTCCCCAAAATAAGCCTTTCCTTGAAGGGAGAGGAGAAGTGACTCTTGACCCTTAGTTCTCCTACTCTGGGCTGCGATTCACCTATTCAGATGTCTGAGTTTGCCGAAAGCTGACATCCATGGTTATATACCTTCTCATGTTTTCCTCTGGTCTCATCAGACTGTCTCATTTTTGTGTGTGTCCTTGCCAAGATGTGCTTACGCATTAACAGTTTTTATTTATTTTTAATTTAGCCTTTACACATTACCAAACTGTTGTGTGGGTGGGTTTAACTTTAGCTCTGTAGGTAGCAGGACTGCTGGGACTGAACACTGTCCAGGAGACTTGGGGACTCTTCCTTCTCTCCCTCAGCATCCACCTTCACTGGCCTCCCCCTCTCAACCCTTTGTTTCACCCATCCAAGTCCCTGAAATTAAAATTTTTAGTACACTTGGTTCAGTTTGAACTTCTAAGCAGTTTTTTTAGAGAACAAAACAAAGAGGATTTTTTTATGGCAAACTCCATTAATGCCACATTAAGGCTGACATTTTAATTACCCCAGAGTCAGGAAATGCAAAGTTCGGGTTCCCACAGCAACAGAAACTGTCCCCTTAAGTGCCGGCATCACAGCAGATTCTTTCATTCCCTGATTACACAACACGGGCATGGGGACATTGTTTGTATCCACGTATGTGGAAAGGAGCACAGCTTATATCCTTTGTTTTCTTCCTGTAACTACAGTTGAGGATATGGGTCGTTAGCTTCCCTCTCCAAACCATCTATATGTATGATCCTGGAACGGAAGGCTGCTACAGCTCTGCATGTGCACACGGACAGAATTAAAGTTGCTGTGGGAACATTAACTCTGATTTCCGGACTTCCGTGCCAGTCACATTTAAACCATAATGTTGTAATTTTTGGCATGTAATAAATGTGCATTTCATGTACACAGACAGAAAGAAGCATAAAATGTATTTTAAAGAGCAATTAATTACTAACTTTGTGATTAAAAAACATTTGGTGCATGTTCCTTCCCATTTAGCATCAGCTGCTGGTCTTAGCCAGGCCTAATAGATGACATACTGTGTCTCATCCTGTATCTCAGATGTACTTACTGTATGTTCCTGTTCTTCTAGATAATTAATTCCCTTAGTAAAGCTGTAGGGGGAAAACAAAATGGAAGGAATATGCAAGCATGTAAATAGGGTAAAGGATATTTTGAAGGAAATGATTCATTTCTGCAAATAAACCTCTTAGTTCCTGATAAAGAGCCAGAAATCTGCTAAGTGGGTGTAGACAAAGGTTCCTGGCCACCTTACAGCATCTGGTCCAGGGCCTTAAGAACAACGTGAAAGCAGATTTCCCCATGAATTCCGGGCATGCCCACAAGGGGAGTGATCTTACTCTGTAATAACTTTACAGGCTTAAGGCTTAACAAGTTGTTTTACTCTGTAACAACTTTTCAGTTTACGTTCAAACTGGAAAAGAAAAACTGTAGGGAATCAAGTAAGATGTACGTTTTGCCAAAGAACCCTTGATTTAGAGAGTAGTGTTTTTTCCTTCATTTAGATTGGAATCCAGTTGGCCTGTTTGTGTTGGAGAAGAAAGTATTTTAACATAACCATGTTTGAACAAGTTTGTGAGTAAAAGGAATTGGTAGCAGTGCTCTAAGGTGCA